GGTTCACCCTGAACACATGTGACAAATGTGAAAGAGTCTGGAGAAGCCATGGAAAACCTTACGCTGCCTATATCATTGTTCAGCATGACCATTTTTGTGGTGGGTCAGTGATGGTCTGGGGAGGCATATCCATGGAGCGACGTACAGACCTCTTACAGGCTAGACAATGGCACCCTGACTGCCATTAGATATTGGGATGAAATCCTTGGACCCTTTGTCAGACCCTATACTGGTGCAGTGGGTTCCTCCTGGTGCACGACAATGCCTGGCTTCATGTGGCGAAAGTATGCAGGTAGTTTCTGGAGGATGAAGGATTTGATACCATTGAATTGACCCCACGTTCACAGAACCTAAATTCAATAGAACACCTCTAACAAATCATTTTTCGGTCCATCCCACGCCACCAGGTTGCACCTCAAATTGTCCAGGAGGTCAGTGATGCCCTGGTACAGACTTGGGAGGAAATACTCCAGGACACCATCCGTCATCTCATTAGGAGCATGCCCCAATGTTGTCAGGTATGCATAAAAGCACGTGGGGGCCATACAAACTACTGAGGACCATTCTGAGTTGCTGCAATGAAATTTCAGCAAAATAGACTCGCCTGCTCCATCATTTTTTCACTTTCATTTTTGGGGTGTCTTTGAATTCAGTCCTCTGTAGGTTGATAATTTTCATTTCCATCAAACAATGGGGCATCCTTACGTTCCTGACACTTTACCCAGTCCATATCAGTATAGATATCCAGCATGATACTTTTCCCCATTGAGATCTGTGGTCATTGGGAAGAATTACCCCCTTACACAGACCGGTGCTGGCCCATGGGCTGCTGGGGGCCAGGTAGGGTTGCCATCCCATCCCCAACCCAAACACATATTAATTACACAGGTTCTGGGACTAATTTAATGCAGATGAGGCACTAAGTGACTTTAATTACCACCTTAATAAACCAGAGAACCTGTGTAATTAATATGTGTTCGGTTTTAAAGGGATGAGGTGGCAACCTTAGAGCCAGTCTCCCAGCACCACTACTCCCGTCCCTCTCTGTGGTCATGGAGAAGGGGAGGAGAGCCATGCAGGATCTCGTAGAGCACTGGTGAGACCTCAAGGAACCCCTAGAAACCTCTGGAGGAACCCTTAAGTTCCATGAAACCTTGGTTGAGAAACCCATTATTTAGGCAAGGAATGTGTCTAATGAATGTAGGTCAATGCGTTTCTTGGGTGCTCCTCCTTCTTCTGGGCCCCGAAGAAGCAGGGGCACCCCCGAAACGTGATGACCTATGTCATTAGACACATTTAATATTTAAGAAAGGTGTTTGTACCTATAGATCAATCTTTTTAGATGTTAACTCTAAGATAATTTTGTAATTTTACATATAATTCTGTTTGCTTGTATAAATCTTTATGAACCCCAGGGGTAAATTTAAAGTCCACTTTAAATTACCTATTTTTATGGACAAGCAGTGGATTGGCCTTTTATGGGTTAAAACAAAAGGCGTGTAGGTCGCTGGGGCTGACCCACGTGGAGTAATGGAGGATGTATGTGTAGGCCTCAACCCTCACTCTGGCCACACACTCTGACGCCCCACCTTCTGTGACAAAGCCCTGATGGGTGGGGCGAAATACATCAGAGGTCTTGGGCTGAGGCCAACACATACACTCTCCATTACTCCATGTGGGTCGGTCTGAGAGATCTCCATATTTCTGTTTTGACTCCACACACTCCTGGATGGTGTTCAGGACGCCTGCTCCCACCTCCAGCACATCGGTAGGGTTACCTTTTATTGACCGACTTGGAGCGGCACCACAAGCCTGTCAGAAAAGGTGAGAAGGTGATATAACGCCTACTCACCACCTGTCAAACGCTCTATGAAGACTAATCCACCATAGACCATGTAAATGAGCCCTTACCCTAGGTTCACTCCTAAGTGTTTCTGCAGCGTTTTATGTTTTGCAGAAACGCAGTAGAGCCTATTTAACATGATTTCCTATGAGACATTTTCACATCTCCGCGTTTTCACCAGGTGTGTTTTTTGGAAAGGGTCAGGGACTTTTTTTAACGCAAAAAATTGCGTTTTTGATTCTATAGACTTCAATGGAAATGCTGCAGAAAAGCATGTAGTGCATTTTTGATGTGTTTTGCATTTTAAATCTGCCTAGCAACAAGAAAAATAAGAAAAAAAAAATGCATCAAAAAAAAACGCAGCAAAATGCAGTTGCAAAAACGCAATGCAGAAATGGCTCAAACGCAACCTGCATAGGTGTGAACCTAGCCTTAGTCTGTGTTGCTAGACTTGCCAGTTCAGTTTGAAACAACAGCCTGCCATCCATAAACTGTTCACCAGTGAGGTCTCAAAGGACATAGCCAGCCAAAGACAGTTGCAACAGCTTCTTGCACAAGGGGTAATTTCAACTGCCTCTTGGAAAAGTACGATGGTTTCATCTATGGAGCCTGAAGCCCAAATTAACTCCCCTGGCGGTATTCCCGAGTGTAGCTCGGGGTAAAGTTTCAGTACCACAAGCGGTAACCCCGAGCAACACTCGGGCTTACTATGCGGTGCTGCTCTGGGATCTGTTCTTCACTTACCTTGTCCTGCGCTCCCGCGATGTCCTCCCTGCAGTGTCCCCTGTAATGTCCTCTGGCCGGCATCTGTCTTCTGGGTTCCGTTCCCTGTGACGTTGGAACGTACGGGGGACAGAACGGTGGGAGATTTGAAAATGACAAAAAGTGACATTCACTAAAATCACATAGTAAAACATTACTGTATCAAACCATTTCACATACATTTTGTCCCGAGTGCTTTGTCCTGCGCCCTGCCTGCATTTTTACTGTTCTTTCTGCCTGGAAACTGAAAAACGTCCATGGCGTCCAAAAAGCGTCCCTTTAGGTCAAAATCGGTTTTAGACCGGCTAGAGAACAGTGATAGTAAATTAGAACCACTTGCAGAATTGAGTGATAATGATTCGTGGGGAAATTCGTCATCAGACACTGAAAACGATTTTGCGACTAAGCTCAGCGATCTGCAAACTTGGCGCTATATTTCAAATTTCAGTGTTTTTGGTTTGATTATATTATTGAATTAAATTTATTATTATTATATTATTATTTTTTATGATTATTTATTAAATTATAATTTATGATTTTGTGTTTCAAATTTTAATATACTCGGGATGTTTACTAGACTTTTGTTCAGACAGATTTCAGTGAGTTATTCCTAAAAATTACAGGCCTACAATAAAAAAAATACATATTTCCATGCAAAAAAAATGTACCGCTTTGAGCACAGAAATATGGACATAATCAGACCGCTAGGGAGGTTAAGGGATTGGATTCCAGCAAACGTACTTACTACATAGACATATCATAATGAACTATGTCTTGCTGGAGTTTTTCTTTAAGAAACAGAATGAATCCTGGATGTGTGTCGGTGACAGCTCTTGCTTAGTTTTCAGGGGTTGTTAATTAGCCTGCAGTGTCTTTTTCATGTCAAGCCTTGTTTTAATCATTACATCAGAAATTAATTGCCGTATTGTGAATGAGGCAAAGGAAATCAACAGCAAAACTCAAATGAGATCTAAGAGGATAAGCAGAGGAAAAAGCCTGACTTGTGAATTTCAATTAGGTCATATAAGAAATTAATTAAGATCAGAGACTGCCACTTTTAAATTGCTAACAATTACATTTGTGCATTTTTAGGAGAGAAGCTGAGTGTGTGCGATGGGCATGGTGGTCGGGCTACACCTCGATTATATCCGCTGATTATGATGCAAGCTGAGTACCAGCCTATGTTACATGACCTGTTTAGGTATTATGCAGTCCATTGATATTCTGCAAGAGTCAGATCAGCGTCTGTTCGCTTAACAGATAATTAGCTGGAAAAACTCCCTTTAATGCCCCGTACACACAATACGAAAATCGTACGAAAAATTTTGCGGAACCGCTGTTGGAACATTTTCTCTTCGTTGATGAGCAGGATGTTTTAACTGATAACGATATTGTGAACAAAAAAATCAACAGTGAAAAATGTCGTTTCGCATACGAACGACCGATTTTCTATGCGGCGGTATGACGGTCGTACGAAAAAAATCTATCAAGCGCTATCACACATGAGTGGAAATAGAAGATGACCCGGATGTTCATGTCCAAGGAATCTTCGTAAACACGAACAAAAAATCCAAATGTTAAAAGTAGATCGGCCTAATGAGATAATGAAACCAGAATTCTGCAGATTATATTTTATGTATCAATATTTATGTATATAGGTCTGTAATAAACAATATTATACTCATTGCTGGTAATCGTTGTGTATATCGCTCTTTCTGGCCGGAAGGGTGTGGCTACAAGGTCACACGCACCGCATCACTTCCACTTGTACGGAAGACGTCAAAACTACGTATTGCCCGACGAATTATTTTTTTTTTAGATTGGTTAATGTGGGCCACGATTTTGACTAACGAACAAAACGACTCTTGGTCGTCGGATGACCGATTGGTCGATTTTCTAATCGTGTATTCCCACCTTAAGAGACTGCTTCTAATCTCAGCTTGTTACCTGTATGAAATACACCTGGTAGCCAGAAATCCTGCTGAATGATAGGGGATCAAATACTTATTTCCCTCATGAACATGCAAATCAGTGCATCATTTGTTAGACATGCAAGTCTTTTGAATTTTTTGTTGCTATTCTGTCTCTCAGGGTTACAATACACCGAACATTCGATTTGTAGACTGATCATTTCTTTGTGAGTGGGCAAACATTCAAAATCAGCAGGGGAGCAAATACTTATTTCCTTCACTGTATTCCACAAAGTTTTGGGTGGAAATTCTTACATATTACATATTGTGGACATTCACTTGATTAACCTCCCTGGAGGTATTCCCGAGTGTAGCTCGGGGTAAAGTTTCAGCACCACAAGCGGTAACCCTGAGCTACACTCCGGAATACACTGCAGCGTTGCCCTGGGATATGTTCTTCTCTTACCTTGTCCTTCGCTCCCGCGATGTCCCTCCTGCAGTGTCCCCTGTAATGTCCTCCGGCGGATGCCGGCATCTGTCTTCCACGTTCCGTTCCCTGCGACGTCAGGACGTACGGGGGAAGGAACCGGTGGGAAATTTAAAAATGTGAAAAAGTGACATTCACTAAATACACTAAATCCACATAGTATAACATTACTGTATCAAACCATTTCACATACATTTTGTCCCGAGCGCTTTGTCCTGTGCCCTGCCTGCATTTTTACTGTTCTTTCTGCCTGGAAACTGAGAAACTTCCATGGCGTCCAAAAAGCGTCCCTTTAGGTCAAAAGTGGTTTTAGACCGGCTAGAGAACAGCGATAGTAAATTAGAACCACTTGCAGAATTGAGTGATAATGATTCGTGGGGGAAATTCCTCATCAGACACTGAAAACGATTCTGCGACTTTGCTCAGCGATGTGCGAACTTGGCGCTCTATTTCAAATGTCAGTGTTTTTGGTTTGATTATATTATTGAATTAAATTTATTATTATTATATTATTATTTTTTATGATTATTATATTAAAATGTATGATTTCGTGTTTCAAATTTTATCATACCCGGGATGTTTACTAGACTCTTGTTCAGACAGATTTCAGTGAGTTATTCCTAAAAATTACAGCCTACAATAAAAAAAAGACATATTTCCATGCAAAAAAAAGTACCGCTTTGAGCACAGAAATACTGACATAATCAGATCGCTAGGGAGGCTACTTGTGGGACTTTTATAATTTATTTTATTTTTACAAGGTCAGTTGGGGGACTTTTATTTATTTGAACATTATCAACTGTGGTATTTTATTTATTTGCACATAATTAATTGCAGGACTTTTTTTTATGTATTTACTTATATTGATGTTTGTTGTATGAATTTTATGAATTAGCGCAGAACTTTTTTTTTTTACAATGGAAAATATCTCCTAGTGTCTTTGCAGCTTTTTCCTATTGATATTATCTTATTTACATTAGCGTGGTTTTTATTGTATTTAGGCCCCTTTCACACGGGGAGGACATGTCAGCGGATCTGCTTGCTCAGCGGGGGGTTCTCTCCGCTGATCCCCACTGACCAAGTGGATGACAGGTCTGTGCCCACTCCGCTGCTGCAGAACGGACACAGACACAGCCCGCTGTCCTCTATTGGCGGTTGGATGGAAACGGTCCGCCTGTCCATTTCCATCTGAATTCAATCCCATCCAATCTTACAGATGGAAGGGAATGGATCTCCGTCTCTTTTTGGCGGATCGGATTGGATGTTGGCAGGTATAAATGTTCACATGTCCGTTTACACCTGCTGCTTCATAGAGGAGAATAGAGGTTCCAAAAAATCGGCAGGTGGACCCGATCGGAACATCCATGTAAAAGGGGCCTAAGTTCCTGTTCTGTAGCCTTTTAGCTGTTGTTATTGTCTAAGTCCCTGCTCACACTGGATGTGAATTGGCATGCGATTTGCATGCCATTCGACTTGCAAATCGTATGCCAAGTCGCACCCTATTATCCACAACTACAGCGGTCATATTGGTCGGAGCCGCACCGATTTCTGAAGTAGTACATGCACTACTTTTGGTGTGATTTACATAGACATCTGTGTCGGATGTCTTGCAAATCACACCTGAAATTGGCATGTCCGCCAACTTTGAAATCATACGACTTCACTGTAAGTCACACGATTTCAAAGTCTGGCTTGATGTGACCGGGGGGGGGGGGGGGGCGTAAGGCTGCTGCTTACTGCTAGCCTCACCAGATCTGCAGTGAGATAAAGGCCTGGTTCACATTAGGGCGGGCCATGCGGCCCACGTTTGCTCACGCACAGCAGTCAGATCATTTAAATGGGCTGTTTTGATATGTGTCCCGCACAAAAAAGGAGCATGCACCTTTTCAAAAATGCATACGCAGGGAAACTGCATGGTCTTTTTGACCATGTGGTTTCTGTGCGGTTTCCATACCTGTGATCGCACTGCGGACTGAGATGTGTGGAGGTGCCAGTCAGAATGAGTGGCAGCCCTGTGCGTCTCGTAAGAGCAGCACAATTCAGCTACTTGTGGCTGCGGGTATGGGAACAGATGTGATTCCTGCACCCGCAACCGACCCATAGAGTGTAAACCAAGGGTCAGTGAAGTCATTACTGTACTGTTCATCTATTCTCCTTGCTGGAGAGGAAGCTCTACCTGGGAACCTGCAATGCAAAGATCTTCCTGCTACTGCTTCATTCATTCTGTGTATCTGTGCTTCCTCCACCAGCCCGGCTGCTTCCTGATCATAATCACAGCAGTCATCAGACCACTAGTCACCAGAAAGTCAACACTGAGTGTGCCTCATTCCAATACTGGGTCCTTACCTCCATTTAGGCCACCAATGTGCAACCAATCAGGCCACCAGCACTGCAGCTAAACCATGGCCAGGTGCTGTTTTAAATGGCTAGTGCATGTGTTGCTCAGTGTTCCAGCAATGTGTCTGTATGCTAGCTGTCAGGCCCCCTGTGTGTCCAGAGTTTTTTTTTTCTTGCATCCTGGGGATCCCCGGTGACTTCCCGCCTTCCCACAAAGCGTCTGTGTTTCCTGTGAAATTAGCATTCCAGCACTTGGTGTGGACTCCTGTGTACACAAAGTGAGCATTCCTGTGTTCTTGTGATCCCAGCACTTCCAGAAAACTCTTTACTCCCAGAGACTCTCACTCCTGTGTTCCTGTGATCCCAGCACCCCAGTGATCCTGCAGCAGGCCCTGGCTGGGACAAAAAATAGGCCTGGGAATTTTAGAATGAGCAGCCAGGGGGCCCTTCCCTTGGAGCCCAGTGATAGAATGCCAGGGCCTGGTCACAAGTGTGACCTTTGCAACCCTGGTAGTTCTGCCACTTGTGTAGTTTTTTTTTAAATCATTATTTACCACTTTATTTAATTTAATTTTTTTTTACAATTTAAGTTTTTTATTTTTTTTTTTACAATTTTTTAGGAGCTTGGTTGGAGGGGCTTTGGTGAGATATCAGGGGTCTAAACAGACCCTTGAGGTCTCATTTTTGAGACAGAGAAAGGAGATTGAGCCCTCAAGCAGCACAGAATGAATGGATAGCAATAGCTCTGCACAGAGCTTCCTGTCCATTCATAAACTGAAGCATAGTAAACACAGTTTACTATGCCACAGTTACAGTATGAATGGACAAAGTCAGTATCGGTACTGATCACTGACTGCCCATTCAGACAAGGAAGGGGCCAGTAAATGACATATTTACCGGCTCCTTCCCCGGATCTCCACCCTGACAGATCACTCCAGCACTGCCGGGTTCTCCCCTTACCTGCTGGCTACTGGGGGGGAGGAGGGGGAGCCAGGAGAGAGCACACAAGGGCCCGGAGAGAGCACAGGGGCCTGAGGGCAGCAGAAAGAAGGATAGGAGGGGTGGGAGGGCTGCATGCACATAGAGAGGAACCGATCCATTTCTCTCCTGCAGTCTCTGAATGCCTGCAGAGTGCATTGGTGCTTTGGCATTCGTTGTTGCCTGTTAAAGTGGGTCAGAGGGCCGGGAGCTGTCCTGCATCAAAGTCCATCATTCCCTTGTGGGGTGCTTTGGTGAATATCAGGTGGCTCCTTAGACCTTCACTTCAGCCCTTTTTAGCGATCTCATCTCCACTGAATGTGCAAGCACTCTGAGTCACATTTTCTCTTCTAGTGCCTGCTGGGCCTGATGATCTGTGTCATTGTTGGTGTGTTGTGTCGGATCTGTCACTGTGTGGGATTGCTAAGTTCAGGTGTTCTCTGTGTGTGTGTTTGGGCTGGGGTGCCTGCTGCTGCTGCTCAGCGTTTTACCTCCCCCCATTGCCTAGGGAATTCCAGCCTGCGAAGGGCCAGGAGCTGTCCTGCATCAAAGCCCATTATTCCCTTGTGGGGTGCTTTGGTGAATATCAGGTGGCTCCTTAGACCTTCACTTCAGCCCTTTTTAGGAATCTCACCTCCACTGAATGTGCAAGCACTCCGAGTCCCGTTTCTCCTCCTGCCTCATGTCACATTTGCTCCTGCTGTCTCCACGAGTCCCCTTTGTCAAATCGATTTTCCAGAATGTTGTCAACCACTTTGCGTCCCAAGCTGCCAGTGTCCCTTAGAGGAATGATACCTTCTCAGTATCTTTCCTGAGCCCTGCGCCTCTACACAGTTCCAGGTATATTCTCTAGATTCCCGGTCTGCCCTGTTTCTAGCAGGTACAGATTCCCTTCTTGATGTTAAGCAAGTAGATGGGCTAGTGTCTTTTTTTTTTAATCTGAATATTTAGGCCATGTTCCTTGTGTGTTTTTAAAAGATTTATTTTCAAGTAGCCCTTTCCTATATCCCACCTTCAAGCAGAACTCTAGTAAAAAAAATAGCCCATAAAAAGATAAAATAAAATAAAAAGCAGCCTGTGTTGCAATACTTACCTTCGACCCAAAGCTGGCCCTTGCAGTACTCCTTTCCACCATAAGATGTCATCAGTTATCTGGGTTGTACGACGGCCATATTAGTCCAGCATCATTTCTCTGAGCCCAGGCTGTCATGTTTCTGTCCCCAGCCTGTAAAGAAGTAGCACTCTGCTGTCCAGGGATTGCAATAGTTTGATTCTGTTCAAATTCAGGTACTAACACTAACTGCATTTTAAAACGACATATATGTTAATAACCACAGAGCTGCATTAATCTGTATTAGTTATATCTGCTTGGGGTTCAGCGTTAAGCATTTTTGGAGAAGCATGGAGGTACAAAGGGAGTACGACACATCCTAGGAAATTCAAATCAAAGTGTCCCAACAAAGTTTGAAAAGCTTTGCTGTAGATCTCTTTTTCTTGGATCTGTCCTCAAGGACAATCAACATGAATCGAGATATCACATGCTTAGAGCAGATTTTCCGGTTCTAATTTCGGCTTGACTAATTGATTCATTAAGTGTTAATTAGGGAAGCATTGAGATCCTTGCCTGGTGGTTGCCCTTGAGAACTTGGCAACACATGGGCTTGTCTGCTATTTTACTAATGAAACTAGGGGGAGCTGTAAAGAGGCTACAAAGATTGAACCGGGGCAATTTCCAAGCTATTATCTCATCATACTACTTTGCAATCACATATGAGCTATAGCAATGTGGCCTAAAGCTGAATTTGATATGAAAGACACAAACTAGCAGTGTTCTGTGTTTTTTAATACATAAATAAAGTGTTTCTAAACCCTTACATATACCTAAGGAAGTGACTGGCCTCAGAGGATACGTAGGAGGATTTGTTTCCTCTGTGTAAGTTATATCTGTTTATCTGCAGTCTTTTCTTTTCTACAGCTGTTCAAAGTGCAGATTTTATACAGTTTGTCTGAGCTTTCAGAAAGCAAAGGGCAGGGAGCTGAAGTTAC